GAGAGAGAGAAAGTAAATGTGTGATGTGGGGAGGGTGCTAAGAGCAGAAGCAGGGGGAACTAGGCAGGAGGCTGCCGACCTGCAACAATGGAGGTAGAAATGATGAGGGCCCAAACCACATAATAGAGGTGGAGGAAAGTGGTCAAATTCAAGATCTATTTGGGGGTAAAGCTGACGCTTGCTAAGATTAGAGAGAAAGGGTGAGGATGGGAGGGAGAGAAGTCTGGGTTTGCAAAGCTAGGTGCTCTATTTTGTTTTTTTTTTGGAGAGATTTTCACTGTAGGGCGCGTGCGCTCGCCAGACAGACAGAGAGAGACATAGAGACAGAAAGCGAGAAATCACCCCCCAGGGGGAATGGTCACGCCGCAATCCCTTCTCCTCCATTCTCCTCTCGGGATCTTGGGCACGCACGCACACACGCCCGGCGTGAGTTTTAAGCCACCGGGTCCGGGACACGAACCGCGGTCGACTACGTGGGAGTCCAGCAACATAGCCATTACGTTAACTGCTGGTTCCTGCAAAGCTAGGTGCTCTTTAATGGAGTGGGGCCAGTGCCGTTTGGAACATTAGGCTGGCGATGGCCCACGAGTCATCTGCCTGAAGCGGTCAAGTGGACAGATGGGTAGAGGTGTTTGGAGCCCAGGAGAGAGGTCTTAGCCAGAGACAGAAATTTGAGAGTCAACATTCTGTGCAGTTCCTGGCAGACCACCCAGGCACACATTCGGTGATTAATAAATACTTATGGAATGCCCAACCGGCAACTAATGGAAAGGACCAGTGAGAATTGTGGATATTGGAAGGTGTTTTGAATCTCTTGGCAAGGGGCATTCAGGAAATGCCAGGAGAGCACCAGGTGCCACGGCTGCTCAATAAGTATTAATTTCCAGTGCTGAATCTCAAGGAAGCAATGAACCGTAATTTCTGTAGCTGACCCTGCATGACTTAACTGGCGCCAGAGCTGTTATTCGGCTGCTTGTTCCTTCTGTCCCTCATCCTTGGGACCTTTTTTTTTCTTGTTGGCTTAGTTCCTAATCCAGCATCTTGCTTTGTTCTCATCACTGTCTTGTTGGCTTCACATTCAGGGAATTGCTCTCACGTTCATTGCCATTGCTCTGATGCTGTCCCTGATGACTGACTGCTCTGCACAGGGTTCTGAATCTGCCATGAATCACGGGCATTAACTGAGGACCTATTATGTGTCAGGCACCATAGCAGACACTTGACACATATTCCATTTAGAGCAACATGCCAGGTAGGTGCTTATCCTCAGGTTAGGCCTTAATCCCCCTGAGAAGGTGTATGGTTGGCTCCAAGGGAGATGGCTAGACAGTGACAGAATAAGATCTCTAAACAATTCCAGGCTGACCCTGCAGCTGAGCACCCCGCCTTCTCGGGTTTGCTGAGCTCCTTGGATTTTGCCTGCTGAGTCAGCCTATACCTTGACTCACCTAGCTCCCCAGTCAAGTCCCTGTGGTGGTTGATATATGTTGGTAGTAACCATGCGTCAAGTTCGGTTGACTGTGTCTGTGGCCCAGAGTGACAGCATTCGAGGTCTCTATAACTGTATACAGACTTCTCATTGCTGCTCTAATGTAGGTATTTACCATGCCAAACAAAGGATCCTAACTTGAGAGAGGCCCAGGGCTCCAGAAGGTATTCATCATCAGAGACATAACAGAGAAGCAGGGCATTGGAACAGCCCAGCCAGGGACCAGGGGAGAGGTGGTCCGCAGGAGGTGAGCCAGAGACTGGGGGTGGGGGGCGGGGGCCAACAGAGCTGTGTATAAAAAGAAGATGACTGTAGGAGCTAGCTTAGAGACGAGGTGAAATAGAAAAATACACACAGAAAAACATTGTCACTCAACCACTGTGGCACGGTTGGGAGCATACTGAACTACTCTGCAGGAAGCCACGTGGCCAAGTGCAGGTTCAGATTCCCAGTCGAGCTGACCGAAATATGCTGGCTGCCTGTGTGTCCATGTGCCTGAGACCCTGATAAGCTAGAGAGTTGAGGAAAGAGGATCATGGTGTGACCAGGCTCTGTTGAGTGTGTGTGTGTCTCTCTCTCTTTCTGTCTCTCTCTCTCACATGTGTGTACATGTGTATGCACTTGTGTTCTCTATTGTGTATAAAATAAATTTGACAAAAACTGTAACCACTGTTCAAAAGAAACAGCCTTGATGGTTTTATGTAAAGGGATTATTCCAGCCTCAGCATCTCTGGCCACTTACTCCAATGGAAAGGCTTTCTGTCTTCATTAGGCATGTCCCCCTAGTGTGCAGGTGTGTTATGAGGCAAAGAGGCATGTGACTAAATGCTGTAGCCAGAGCAATGGTTTCACCAGCATTGGAGAGGAAGCAGCGCCTTTGCTTCTGGGAGGCCGAGTCCTGGGAAGCCCGGCCATTTGGGCAGGAGTCATTTGCAGTTAACATCGCACTAGAGGACAAAGCAAACGAAGCTACCCCTGCTGGCACTCATCTGAGCAGCACCTGTTCTTCCAGCAAACTCGACCCTTTATCACCCGACACCTGCCTGGCTGGCTGGGCCCCATGCTGCCTGCAGAGGGATGGAACTGATGAATATCCATTGCATTTTAGCTCTTATGGCAGAAATGAGAAATGGAATTTCTAGGGGCAAGTTACCTATGGACCAAGCATCACTTATGAATGAATCAGACTGGTACAGGTGCAAAGGTGAAAAGCTTGGTTTAAAAGACAAGAGGGAAAGAAAAGCTAGACACACATCATGTCTTTTAGTTGTAGCAGGTGGTGATGGTGTACCATGTTAAATAGACACACACACGGTGGACCTCAGCCCACTGGATGTCTGAAGTTTCATCTGGACCCTAGGAAGAATTTCCGGGAAGACAATCCAAATGCACCTAGCCAACACTGCACTGACTTAAAAGACAACTGATATGGCTCCAAAGACCTTGAGAGACAAAGACATGCATACATGCTCTCTTTCTCTGTCTCCTTTATACACACACAGACACACACACATAAAATCTTAAATATATATTTAAGTACATCTATATTTAAGTACATCTTAATTTTGTCTTCTTTGATTATGACACTCAAAATGTCAATAGCCAAGTTCTCAGCTGTATTCTCATTACTTAGACCAAATCTGAAACAGTACGGGTTCTCCATATATAAGGAGTCTTCAAAAACTTCACGGGTGGGGTCAGCAGATGGCATAGCGATCACTGGACACTCAGGTGGTCAATTCGGTTTGGGTCCTGGACATGGTATCTTGAAACTCATGCCAGGCATGTGTGCATGTATGCCCAAGATACCAGGAGAAGAATGGAGGAGAAGGCACTGTAGCATGGCCATCCCCCCTGGGGGTGATTTCTCAACTTTCCCACTCACTGTTTCTGTCTGTCTTTCTCTCCCTGGAAAGTGCATGCACCCTAAGTCAAAATCATCCAAAAACACAACAGAACCAAACTTCATGGACAATGCATATTGCAAAAAAACTGCACATGGATTTCAAAAAATTTTACACCACGATAAACTTGTACTTTAATTCCATTTTCTAATATACATTTTGAAGTCCTCTCATCTATTTGCTGAATAAATGAACAAGTGAATGATGATGTATTATCTGTGGGTTTTCAAGAGACCTTACCTAGTGACTTTTTATTAATATCGCTCCTTAGTTGCATTCTAATTTTACACATGTTCTTTTTACTAAATATTTAAACTCCCCCATCACTCCACACTGGTTATAGGAGTTTTGATTGAGAGAGACACTAACTAAAAAGGAGTGTGGAGATGGTCAGCAACTTGTTTCTTAATTCTCAGTGAAAATAACCTTAGTCACTGTACCTCACTTAAACATGTATATTTCTGTATTCTTTTCTTATTTGAATATTGTGGAATATCTGAAGGACAACAGATTGCAGAATTAGGAACAGGACAAGATCAGACTACCAAATAACTCAGAACTCATCCTGGATTTCTTTCTGAAGCATCAGCCATTTTCTCCTCTCTAGCGATATTCCTGGGATGAGAAAAAGCCTACTCTGTATTAAAATCAAGATTACTTGGTGAATTTCAATGCCTTTCAAAGAAGTAAAATTTTATGTAGAAAAATTTATTAAGCCATGATAAGATGGCTCTGAGCATGGATATGTATATATCTAAGCCTTTGAAACAGGTTCAAAACCAAGATCAGAAAGTACTGACGTTCCACGATGAATCTCAGGAGTGCTGGAATTGGAGACTTTTCTTGCTGATAAGACACAGAGAGTGCTTTAAAAGCTATCTGCTCCTCTATATTTAATCAAAGTGTAATAACAAAAATAAGCAAGGGCTTCTGGGTCTTTGGTTTGGAGTATATTGGTTTGACAATTAAAGAAACTGTTTAGAATAAAAATAGAAAACAGAGCGTTAATCCTGGCTTTCAAGCCTTGCTAGCATCGCCAGCTGTCAGAGAACTGGTGAGTAAAGCAGGGTACAGAAAGGTCTTTGGGCTGGGCTTGTCGACATTTTAGGAGTTGATATATTTTTAAGTTAACTCCAAGAAGAAAAACACAGTCACTTTCATGATAAGGCTTCACTATTTGAAAATAGCAAGTAAATATGACAAAGAAAAGGGTTTGCTAGAAAGTACCCAGTTGTTTGTATCATTCTCTATACTTTTTCTGCTGGAAACATTTCATAATCATAATACATAATCAAACATACATAAAAGAATCAAAACAATAGTAACAAAGAAAACAACCATAATATCCTTTACTAGGGAGTTGACAAGGGATGTTATTTTGTCTCTGCAATGGTTAACAACATGACACTTTTCTGATTCCAAGTTAGCATTTTTAAAATAACGTCTGATTCAAAAGTATAGACGATGAAGATGTTAAATTAGGTGACATTGTAGCAAAACGTTAATAAAAATCAACTCCCAGGAAACCTGAAATCCCTCCGATATCAACATAATGCTGATAATACATCATATTTAACAAGGTGTATTGGAAATAGCTGAGCACTGACCTCCCGAGGACAAATGATCCTCTTGGGACGAGGTGCCTCTTGCTGTAACTGATACACTGCCAAAAAAGAGAGAGAAAAACAGATAATTATAATTAGAAAAGTGCAACACCAACATGATTTCAAATATTTCCACCGAAGTGCATCTCAGGAATTGCAAATATAAAAAACAAAGGGGATACACGTACATTTTTTAGGCTGGATACAGCCAGATCATTTATATGGAAATGAGTTACCCTGAGTGTAAACTGGCAAAATTGATTTTTTTTTATTCTTATAAGGCCAATTTAGTTACATAATTATTACTGGCATTGTTCATCTTATAGATTTCTTGGAAGACTAGATACGGCTAAAATTCTTTGGACTGTTTTAGAGATGAAATTTTACTTGTGTGTACCTGAGTAGCAAGATCTTGAATTTAAATGCCAATAATGTTTCTTGACATCCCAGGAAAGAACTGGCATTTGAAGAAGGAGGAATGTCACACTCTGAAATGTTACGGTTATGTATAAAGATGCAACTGATTCTGCCAGTGAGTGAAACACCATGTCATTTCTCTCCCTTCTTTTTTTCTCCATTTTTTTCCTGGCCTATCTCATGAATTCTCATCCATTTGACTACTTTTCACCCTTTGTCACTCTTCTTTCTTGGGTCTTTTTCCATTTTAGAGAACAATAACTGTCTTCTACCCTTCTCTAAAGAGAGACATTTAGGCTTGGACATGAAGGTAGTTTTATAAAACACAACTTATCAGACTATTATTTGTAATTTTTCAGACTGTAACAAGTGATTTTTCTACTGTTTCAGCTAGTCTGATTATTTCTCTTTGAGGGAAGAACTACCCTATGCAGGCACCTTGGGATCCTATTTCTGTGAAAATAGAGGTTTACAACAAACCAAGTGAATGCTTTCTTCAGTATCTTGAAGAGAGAGTTAATTTCAGATGGAATAAATCTATAAAAAGTTAAAAACTCAATCATATAAAGTCTCTCTAGAAAATGTAATAAGACAAGTACAAATATCTGATTTAGTCCTAGGTCTAAAAAAAAATTAATTGACGGGCAGGCAGCCATATGGAAACAGAGATGAAAATGATGGAATATGCTTTGTAAAAATGTCTCCCTGGTGCCTTCAGCTCAATGTAGTGATTTTCTTACCTCATTAAGTGTAGACTACCCAGCTTTGACACAGAGGGGGAGAGACCTAACCCTCTTAAAGATGTTGTCAACTGCCACATTTCTAAGCATGGGTTACAAATGCTAATGAGATGCATATGTCACTTAAGGAAAACCGTACCTATGTATGAAAAGAAAGCAAGGTTCA